AGGAAACATGAGGTGACCAACAGGTTGCATGTTGACTTTTCATAACTTTCTCTCTAAATACACTTTTTCAAAAAGACAATGCAACCTGAATTTTTATGTATCCTCTATATTTTTTATGCTCCCTTCTAGTAATTCTCTGCTTCTTAATTATTTCTTCTATTTCTAGACCATGAATTCTGCATGGGGAACCTGAGGGAATATTCCTGCCACACTCAGGGTGTCGCAAATGACCCCTGGGGAGGATCAGATGTAGGACAGTGGCCTGTGTTAGCGCAAGCCCACTTGACAAACATTTATGACTTAATATTTGCATTCTCTTTTAGGGAAAAATTAGGTGCAAATTTAATTTTAGTGTAACATTTTGGGGTTGGGGCAATAACAAGGACAAGATTGAAAGACATTGTTTTACACTAAGGGAAAGATTTTTTTACTATATTCATTTCTTAGGGTTACTATAACAGATTCTGATAAACCTAGAGGTCTTTTTTTTTTTTTTTTTTTTTCTTGCAGAACCGGGGATTGAATTTAGGCCCCTGCGCCTGGTAGGGAAGCGCTTATTCTACTGAGCCATCTCCCCGGCCCCCTGGAGGCCTTTTTAAAATGCCAGAATTTATTCTTTCTCAGTTCTGCAAACAGAAGGCCAAAGTCAAGTTGTGGTGGGCACCATGCTGTGTCCCAAGAAGGGAGAATCTGATCCTTCACTCCACCCTGCCCCTGTGGTTCCACTGCTTGCTCATCTGTCTTTCGTGAGAATGCTTGTCACTGACTCTGGGGAGACATATATGATGTTCCGGAGATCCTTAATTACATCTGCGAAGACCCTGTCCCAGATAAAGCTCCGAGGACCTGGTGCGGGCGCACTGGGAGGAGGGCGCCCTTAAGTCCCTGCCCTGACAGCGCAAACCCTAATCACAGCGTGCGAAGGAGAGCCGGGTGTGAGCAAGTTCTGGCGCGCATGCACGCCGCCTGACCGTCAGCTTCCGAGCTCTTGGTCAGCCCCGCGACGCTCAGGGGTTTCTCACTCAGGCGCGGGGTTCCATCCGTGTCTCTCTCTGGACACCAAGTGCGCCTCTCTTTTGGCTTTTATCCTCTCCTCTGTTCAGCTCAGATTGCTCAGCAGACCTGATTTTTCACTTACCCTGAACAAGTCGCTTTTCAAATAAACTTCAGGCACCGTTTTTGGCTTGTCTCACCCAATTATTTGTTCAAAGCAGGAAGGACGTGAAATATTTTTGATTGGTGAGCCATTTCTATTTAAAAAAAAAAAGAGAGAGGGCTGCGGAGATAGCTCAGCGATCTAAGTGCCAGCCTAGCAAGCGCAAGAACCGTGGTTCAATCCCCAGCATCGCATGCCGGCCCCTGGAGCCCTAGGTGCACCGTGTCGGCCATCCAAACCGAGCGTGGTGGCGCACACCTGTAATGCCGGCCCTGGGGAGGCTGAGCCAGGAGGATCACTGCAAGTCCAAGCTGCACAGTGAAATCCTGTACCAAATTTTATTTTTTTAGTGGTGTCAGGGATTGAACTGAGGACCTTGCACTTGCCAGGCAAGCACTTATTCCACTGAGCTATCTGCCTGGCCCCCTGATTTTTAAAAAAATTTAATAAAAATTTGCAATGTAATATGCCATCAACTGCATGTGCCTCTAAATATTCAAATATTGAAGCTCTAATCCACAGCGTGACTGTTAAGACATCAGGCCTTTGAGAGGAAACGGGGTAAAATGAAGTCATGCTTGTGTTACAGCACTGTCC